CCCTGGGGTGACGCTCCTAGAAGGGTTTACCTGTTTTACTCATCCCTTTTTATCTATGGCAAATATTGCGTGGCTCAAAGAAAGGTCCATTTTTCTACCATGATGAAATGCAAAACCTCTTAGCTCCTCTCTGGTTTTCATTCTTCGCCCACAAGGGTGGTAAAATTTTCAAGGCTTGTTGGAAGATTTGTGACACTTATAGGTGCAGGAGGTGAGAATTAGTTGTGTTCTACTTAAGAAATTCAGATTGCTCAGCTCTTCAGAGCAGTAGTTTTTCATCTTTTAGAAAAAGATTTATAAAAATCACCTTAGGACCATAAAACCGTTCCCTGGAAAATACTAGAGGTGTTTTGAGATGTCTGCGTGTCACCTATGCATTGTTAATGTTATTCACAACACTCTTTTCATGGGAACAGATTAACGGGATCGTTTGTGAGGTTTTGTCAAAGAAGCTTGCCAGAAAAGCTGATCTCCCGGTCATCCTTCAAGACCCCATCAACACATCCCCTGTCTCCAAAGTCTTCACCGACTCGTTCAGACAGCCAACTGCCCCCTCCTCTGGGCCCCTGCACTGTATTACTCTATATTACATGACCGACCGTAATCATCGTTGTATTTCTAGCACTCGGCATAGTACCCAGCCCAAAAAGATGCTCACTGCTTGTTAAAAGAAGGCAAGAGGCATAGAAGCTTGGTTAGGTGGTCTCTAGGTTCACATAAAATTAGAATCAGCAAACTAGAAGTGGGGACAAGGCCTTTTACAGATGACTGTCTGAACAGCAGTGAGAAATAAAACTGAGAGGAAAACGAAGAGCAGGTGAAGGACTAGACACTGAGTGCTGGTGTCCACCTAGAATTCACGTTAGATCCTAAACCCCAATGTGAGGGTGTTCGGAGGTGACTCCGTCATGAGGGTGGAGCCCTCAGGAATGAGATCAGTGCTCTTTTATACAAGAGAGCCCAGAGAGCTCGCTGCCTCCTTCTTCCACGTGAGAGCACAGCCAGAAGGCCGCCATGTATGAACCAGGAATCGGGCTCAGCGAATCTGCTGGTGCCTTGAATTTGGACTTCCCGACCTTCAGTTCTGTGAGAAACAAATGTCTACTGTTTATAAGCCACCCACTCTATGATATTCTGTTACAGCAGCCTAGATGGACTGAGACAGGAAGAGAGCATTTACCTGGAAAGGAAACCCCAGAAACCGAAAAAGCACAGAGATCTGAGATCATTTAATTCATTTAGAGGCAAATAGTCCAGCTGGCACAACAGGCCTCCTGGATGCCACTGTCCTCAGCAGAGGGTGGACCTGAATGTTGTTGGTGACAAAGATAAATAGTCACGCCTGGATCAAGATGGAGATGCAATTGAAACTCAACCCAGATGTTCTGCAGTTTGGGGAGTCAATAAAATTACCCCCTTCTCTGTTATCTTCATTTCCTGCATTTTAAAGGTAGAAACAAAGAAAACTATGGACTTTCTCAGCCTAAAACTAAACTCACAGAAGCCAGAGACTTCAGAGAACATTCTAGAAGCAGGTTTTCTTCAAGACCAAATGAAAGCCTTGTGCTACAGGGACTTTGGTGCCCTTCCCATCTGGAGCATTTGCTACAACAGAAGCTGGCTTGTAATTTTAAAACCTAAAATCAGATTTACATTCGGTACAGAGCTTGTTTGCGCACCACTAAACACACTTCCAGTTAATTCAGGGCAAGTCCTCTAAGACAAAGGAAATATGATTGCAAGTATTTTACAAAAATATGAATTTCTTGTAAAAACATAATGGAACCCTCAGAAAAACAAAAAGTTAATTCTAGATTACAGAGCAGGGCCTCGGGCGGTAAACACAGAGGCTGACCATGCAGTACAGGTGGACCCACCAGGTGGCAGTGTGGGCTCTGCAGCCTGGGTGCCCACCAGCCCCGTTGGAAATGGTGACCCTTCAAACTTCCTTGTTGAGGACTCGTGAGATGATCAGTAGACTTTTCTCAAAATCAGTGAGCAGCTATCCAAATACTTTTGAATGGCGATATAAACTCCAAACCTCAAACTCACTTGGGTTCTTGACTGATCTCCATGGATCACATTTTGGGGAAGGAGTATTTGCCCAAAGCTGTGAAGCTACCTCCTGGGGAGTGAATGATAACAAACTAAACAGGAGGTTGTTTGCGGAATCTCCAGAACCCTTCCCACTCCTGATAATCAATCCTACACTGAAACCTAGCTGGTGGAAAAACCAAAATGGGCGTGTGGCACTTGTCCAATAACTTTTATTCAGCTCACTTGTTCCCAGTTGACAGAGTCTGGGTTGGAAAAATCTATAGCAGTAGTTCTCAGAGTGATCCGAGGCTTCTGGGATTTTTGAGACAACTTCCTGAGGTCTGTAAGGTCAAAACTCCTTTTATTATAAGACTAAGATGTTGTTTGCTTTTTGAACTGGGTTTGATATTTAAACTGATAGTGGAAAGAAATGGTGGGCAAAATTGCTTGCATCTTAGCACAAATCAAGGCATCCATGTGAAACCGCACTAGACATCATTGGATTCTTCACCATCACACACTCGCAGTGTGAAAAAGAAAAAAAGCCAGTTTTAGTTAGGAAGAGTTTTGATTGAAATACAAATATGCATATAGCATGTTTGCTGCTTCCTGAAGTACTGTGATTGTCTCCAGGAAAAGCACTTGTGCAGTTGGTTGAATTGTGACCTAAACTAACTGCCTTTTTCATGGAACTCCATTTTTATTTGAAAGCATGACTGAGAAACTATGTCTATTCAGTATGGAGTATTCGGCAACATTTTCTCAAAAATGAACAAAGTATGACTGTCAATTCAAGGAAAGCAACTGACAGCATTTGTTGCCAATTATAAAATTTGAGCCTTCAAGTGAAAATTAGAATTCTGGAAAACTTGTGTCTGCCATCCTGAGCTTCCCAGCTTCCCAGCACTTAAGGATTTTCCTAATGAGATTGGTGACAATATTAACAAGTGTGAATTTTCAGTGTTGATAATGAATGTGTCAAAATTGGAAGATCTGCATAAGTCAGTGAGCCAGTATTTTTTAAGTGACTGATACTTGATGTTACAAAATCATGCATGCGTTAAAGATCCATTCGTAGTACAAAAGAGACCAATATAGTGTTTTAATGCAACAGAAAAGGAAAAATTCACTCACCTAGTTTCAGATTCCACATTGCAACTGACCTTTGAGCAATGACCCCTTGTCAAGTTTTGATGTAGTATCAAAGAACACCCATGTCCACAGTTATCTAGAAAGACCATTAAAATACTCCTTCCTGTTCGGACTATATCTCTGTGTAAGATTACATTTTCTTCAACCAAAACAATCTGTCATAACAGATGGAAGACAGAAGCAGATGTGAGAATCCAGCTGTCTTTGTTAAGCCAGGTACTAAAGACATTCCTAAAAATATAAAAGAATGACACTCTTCTCACTAAGTTGGTTTATTTTTTAAAATATAGTTCTTTTTCATTAAAATATGTTATTTGTATTAACATGTAATGGGTTTACTAATTTTATTTTTAAATAAATAAAAAATAATGATTGTGAATACTTGGTTTTAATTTCTAATATGCTAAATATCAGTAGAGTCAGCCCAAATTAACAAGAAGCTTTTTAGGGTCCTCAATCACTTTTAAGAGTACAAAGAGGTACTAAAACCAAAAGACTTGAGATCTCCTAACCTACAGCTATGGAGCATTTTAAATACCATCGATCTCTAGGACCCTCTGAAAAAGTATCTACCTTGCTATCCAAATTCTCTACAAGTTTTTGTTTGATTGAATAAGTCCATGATGGCCAAATTTTCATGGAGGCATTAAGCTAGACAATTTATATTAGAGGTGGCAATTTATCAGTGGGTTTGGCATTAATTGACTTGGTGCGGTCCCGGCTTGCGGTCACAGAGCTCGGGGTGGAGCCAAGGCCGTCTCTTGCTGATTCTTCCCAGTTAGTTCAGGTTCTCCTCGGGGATGCCTCCCCAGCACCCAGTCGTTCTGCTTCAAGCATCTCACCACGCTAGACTCACTGTCTTCCTGTCCAGCTGTACCGTAATCTCCATGTCCATCATGCCCACTGCTGGGTTCCCAGCTCCTGCCTCATGTCTTAAATAGTCTAAGCGCTCAGTAAATATTTGTTCACTGCTTATTTGCTGAAGCCTAAGTGTCTTAACACATCAGCATGTGCTTTCTGCCCTACACCGCCTGCCTTCAATAGCATGCTTAATCCCTACCATGGCTGTGATGGAGCCATCAAGGGGTTATCTTAAGTACATAAAGATAATATGTAGTGCATGGTGTCCGGTGAAAATGGTTAAATTATTAATCTAAAGGTGAATAAACCTGATTCAACACTTTAAGAATCCAGCAAACTCAGTTAACCTCAAATGCCACATACCTGGTACACTTCTGATGGATACCAAAGTCTAGTGTTTGGATGTGTACTTGAAACTTTTTACAACCCTTTTATGTGTATGCACTGTGTCCCGGTAAGATCTTGGGCCCCAGCCACGTGCCTCTCTGGAGACACGGACAGAAAATCTGAGTTGAAATCTCAGCTCAGCCTCTCCTTTGCTGTAGGACAGTGGACACACCACTTACCCAAGCTAAGCCTCAGTCACTCATCTATAAAATGGAGTTAGTTATAAACCAATACATGCTTTTGCCGTGAGGATTCAATGACATCTCGCCTGTGGAGCATTTAGGGGTACACACGCTGAGAGACAGTAACGTTTGTGGTGGTCGCTGCTGCTAACAAAGCCAGGGAACCACGGCCCACCCACACGCCCCTCTGGAAGACCCTGCAAGCCCTCCACCATAGCTGTGTGCTGAGTGAGAAAAGCAGAAACTGCCCCTCCAGATGAGGGACTTACAGGTTGAACATTTTTTTGAAGTGGCGTGCTTCAAGATAACCAGACGGGCAGAGCATTCCACAGAGGGGCAAGGTTAGAAATTAAAGGCTTCCTCTTTTGGCGAGGACTGGGAGGTAGGAGGCAAAAGGAATCTTTGTTTTTAAAGTAGTTTGCTTAAAACTAAAGAGAAACAAACTCATAGACACAGAGAACAAACTGATGCTTGCCCCGGGGGAGACCAGTAGAGGAATCTCCCGACAAGGAGGAAGAGGATTAAGAAGTACAAACTTCCAGTTATGAAATACGTCACGGGGATGTAACATACAAGATGGAAATAGAGTCAATAATATGGTAATAACTATGCAAGGTGACAGGCGGTTACTAGACTTATTGTGGTGATCACATTACAAGGTATATAAATATTAAATCACTATGTCGTACACCTGAAACTAATATAATATTGTATGTCAACTATAATTAAAAATAAATTAATTAAAACATTTATATAATAGCTTGTTTAAAATGAATAGTCTTAAAACACGGTAGACTTCTATCTAAATTGTTCTTGTTTACTAAACATTTAAGCTTGTTGAAAATGAAACTTCCACGATCTGAATGAAGCCAGCCTCACATACACATTTTTTTGTTTTTCTTTTTTAAGCAGGACATTTTCTGAAATTCTAACTGACGCTACGGTAATTTTTCTGAGTCTTTGGGCAGCTTGAGAACACACAGCAGGAAGAGCGTGAGGAACACGGACGGGACCTGTCATCCTTCAAAGAAGTCCTGCTCAGGGCACGTAATGTTTCACAAAGTTCCCACATATCTCAGTTCCTTCTTGAGCACAGCTTTAGTAAGCCAGTGACCTGGTCACTCTGGCCTTGCCTTATGCTTTAAAGAGCCCACGGTCCCTTGGTCACAGGATCTGCTGCCTCCTCTGGGTGTGTGTGGGAAAGTCACATGGGGAGTCCCCACCCTCCCCAGCTCGGGTCAGCACCCAAGCCTGGCCAAGGCTCTCTTTGAAACAAACGGGGTACCTTTACCTAAGCAAGCAGCTCCTCTTGTTCTGAGTGAATGAGATCCACTGTGAGACCCACAGATGCAAGAACTGAGGCCCTGAGCACTGAGGACACGCCAGAGACACCACACTTCCTGTCTGGGACAGAGCACGCGGAGCAGGGATCTTCCGTCCTTTGGACCCTGTGTTCTAGCCCAGCCTTCACCATCAGCCTTTTTTGGAACTGAGTCAAATGCAGGTAAAAAGGAACTCGGGCCGGAGACCTGCTTTGCCACTTGCCAGCTTTGGGTGTTGGGCAAATTCACTAACCTCCCTGGGTTTACATAGTTTGTTGCTTGCTCATTTACAAAGCAAAAGAATCGATGAGCCTGCAGTAGCTAAGGATGGGGCCACCCTCTCACCTTTACCCTCACAGCTCTGTGAGGGAGGGGAGTCCCTGACACACCTGATCACAGCTCCTCCTCGCAACCCTGAGGGCAAACCTGCTATTATTAACCCATTTCACAGAGGATAGAGTGAGGCTTATTGAGATTAAAATTAACTTCACCCCAGGCAGCTTGACTCCAGAATGTTTCTGCTTAATCCTATACTGATGGTCCTTTCTATTCTTTACTTTGTAGGCATGAAAGCTCAAGTGACTTTGAGGATCTCAAGTGACTTTGTGGCTATGAGATGCCACAGCGGCTGACAACTGTGTCCCCAGGTCCTGGTGGCGTGAGTTTGGGGGGTGAGAACAGGGAACAAGGACTAGAGAATAGATCTCTGGATGAAGGATTTATCAGCCTGAGGACCCGGGGGATTCTGGGTGCTAGGGTCAGGAGAGCCCACAGGGCCTCAGCACCCAAAGAGCCCTGGCTTCTCACAACATTAGAAGTTCAGAATTAAACTCCTGACTCTGAGCCCTCCTGACCCACACATGCCATGCTTGCATCCTTGTCCATGTTATAGAAAGATGTCAGGTTAGGCGACTAAGAACCTGGCTTCAAGTCTGGTTACTGGTCTTATTGTGGTGATCACTCAATGGCTGGTTTCAGCAGAAGAGAAAGATGGTACTGGGCGGGCACTGGGCAGGTGGAGGGAGAGCCAGCTCTGGAACTCTGTGTGACACCTGCCTGTCCTTTGCAGAATCTGCAGGTTCCCCGGGCTTCCAAGAGGCTGAACAGCCTCTGAGGCGGGAGGATGCTGACGTGTCTACCTGTGCAGCCACTTGTCACATACAGAGGTACCAATACTGTATGGCTATGTGGGGCCGGCTGCAGGATCAGTATTTACACCCTGAGAAGTGTCATACCCAAGGAGATAACTCTCCCTGCCCTGCCTAATCCACAAGGTTTGTTGAGATGATCAAATAGCATCTTAATGATGATAGCAGAGCTTACTTGGCACTTAACCCCATCTTCCACTGTCTTTGCAAACATCCAGCCACTGGGGGAGCCCAAACACTTCGGCATTAGTGAAAAGTATTCATTTCCCTAAAGTTATCATCGTAGATCCTATGTTCTTGTAAAATTGAAGAGCACAATATTTTATAGGATTCATTTATTTTGTAAATACAGATGGACTTTGTCACCCAGTTCAACATAATAGGACCTCATGGGTTAAGTAGGGGTCATAGCCTGATCCTTGAAATATTCTAATTCCACAGAATAGTGCAGACCTTCAAAATACTGCTTTAGGTGGTTCTATTACAAAAAATATACTGCACATTTATTAAGTAGTTTAGTACAGCAAATTACTATTTAATGGACTTTTTTTCCTTGAAAAAAAGTCAGTAGCCCTAATTGTACCAGGGACTCTCCCTGAAAGACCCATCGTGTAAGCTGGGGCCACGAGACCCAAGAGACCCTCCGCACTGCCTGTGCTGTGAGGATGGTCTGTATGTTTTGATTTTCCCAAACAAAATCTCTACTGGATTCTTCACACACGTGGTCTCCTTACCTTCTACCTTCAGACACAACAAGGGAGCCATTCTCTTCATCTCCCAAATTGTGACATGTAGTTTCATTTACCTGATTCCTATGTTCTAAATGGTTTCTTCAAAACCAACCGTGATGTAAGGATTAAGACCGTTTGTCCCCCAGAGAAGCCAAACTCTGCTCAAACACTGATGAATACACACGGTCTTTACGTCCTGTCGTATTCTTTGCATTGACACGTAATGTGAGTGTTGCCTATTTATTCAGCAATCATCTGCGTGGCTGTGTTACCCATATCTGTTTCCTTTTAATGACTTGTCCACATTATCAAAACCTGATATAAAATTCAAAGGACATAAATGTTTTTAGCTTCAAAGAATTTAGAAAATTTTTTCTGTTGATAATCATAGTTTAATGCGTTCAAAGTTTCACAATAAGTTAATTTATTAAAGTAACATTGACTTAGCAGGACTTTGGGGTGAGAAGTTAGAGAACAAGTTCTTCCCAGAAGAAGCACAATGTTGTGAGTAAGCACCTGTTTCACATGGAATCTAGTAACTGCTTTTTGAATGTCTGTCTGGACTACTCAACAGTAAGCATCATGGGGGCAGGTGCCCAGGTTGACACAGGCTAATCACATCATAGGTATTTAATACATGTTTCTCAAGAGAAAAAACATTCTTCATAAGACAGGTTGTTAAAAAACAGAAGCAGGTCAGAAGGTCAGTCATTCCCGATGCCCCGTGAAGGCCGCCTCTTCCTGCCCCAACGGCTGCTGCTGTGTAAATCCCACGAGGGAATTCCGCTCCGCTTGGCTCTGCTTCCGTCAAGACAGGGAAGCTGATATTTCAGAACCCTGTCCATGTGCAGCCTGACTGGCTTATGGGATATTCACGCCCCAAAGCTCCTCAAAGTGATTTTCTGGAAGAACTTACTACTAGTAAAGTAGGTCGAAACCGTTCTGGGGCCTCCTTAAGTTTTCCTGAAAAAATGAGACCGTGATCCAGTTTCACCCACCTGTGTGGAGAGGGCACCCAGGCCTGTGCTCTGCTGCCGCCCTGGCCCTGACTCAGGGAAAGCCTGCAGCCGCGGTGTCCTAACCCCACTCCTCAGCCCTGCGGAGGGGTGAGGCTCTCCCCTCTCACCAGTGGCATCCTTGTCAGCACCACAGCAGCAAGCAGAGGGTTGTTTGGAGGGATGGTTGCTAGAACCTATTGTAATGTTATATTTCTATTTTGACTGACTTTACTACAATCCTTTTAAACTGAAACATATTTAGCCTCCTTATCATATAGGCTGTAGGATTATAATTTTTATCTCTCCTCTATCTTTTCAGTTTTAATCTCTTCCCCACCTTGGAACCTCAAAAACAGGTATCAGCACTTCCATTGGGTTTGCTGTGTCAGTGACCGAGGGTCCAGAGGGCCAGGTCATTCACCTCAAAGTCTCGCCTCCAGTACCTGGCCCTGGGAAGATGAGTTCGGAATCCCTCTGTACTCGGAAGTCTTCATTCATAAAGTGAAATAAAGGAACACTTGGTCTCTCCTGGGGAGAACATCATAGGTGCTGACATGCTTTGAACTACTGAGAGGAAAGGTGTGTGACACAGAGCTTTATTATTTCAGGTGGTGAGACCGGGTCGGAAGGGTCCCCAGGCTCATAGTGATTGGACCACTTTGCACGATACATGGGTGGGGAGCTCTCCTTTCCGATTCCCCGCCGTTGTGGGAAGGACCCCTTTCAAAAGGACATCATTTATGATGAACATAGTGTCATGAGATACAAAAACTATTAAAAATGGCAGGCAACCAGGGCTGCACGTAACCATGCTGCTAGTCCAGACCAGCTAACCAGTTATTGCTCAGGGAGCTGAGGTCTGACAGACTGGATGACAACATGACATAAACCAGAATTCAGAATAAAATTCCATCCCTTGGAGCATATTCCATTGGCTTTCTCTGCTCCTGCTTCTGCTGGTATCTGGCCTTCTGGTAGAAAAAGATGATGACCACGGTGACAATATCTAGAAGGATGTTGAGCAGCACGAGCCAAAATGAGCGCCCATATCTGTGGGTCGCTCCTCTGTGAGTGGCTGATGGATAGCGTGGGTAAAGCATCTGGGTCAGCTCTTCCGAGAGGTGATTGGATTGGATGTTCCCCACAAACAGCACCATGGCCAGGAGAGCGAAGGATGCTGAAAGAGCAAGTGTCACAGAGGATACGGTGAGACATTTTTTAACGTCACTTTTTTCTTTATGGAACGTGGATTCTGTGGGCGTTCCCCAAATGTCTACACAGGGCTTTCCACTCTTTTAGGCATTAAGGAAATGTACAAGAAATAGAAGACACAAGCTCCTCTGACACGCGCGCCTCACCCTCCAAGAGGAATAAGCTAGAAACAAAGGTAGACCCGTGGTTGCTTAGGGCTGGGGATGGGCAGCGAGCCCGGACGGGGTGACAGCTAAAGGCCAGGGGGCTTCTTCCTGAGGTGACGGAGTGCCCCAAGCTTGACTGTGGGGCTGGAGCACGTCCCTGTGGGCACACGAAGAGCCACGGACTGTGCACTTTCCGTGGGTGAATCGCGCCTAATGGGGATCATATCGCCACCGAGCTGTTCAAGAAGGTGGGGGACGGGCACCAGGACTCAGGTGTCCCCATCTATCGAAGTTGGGGTTTGACCAAGCCATGTGGCCACCGGGAGTCCTGAGGGACACGGGCCGTGTAACTCTGCCTCTGCTGACATTGACCCAGAACTAGACGGGCCTTTTGTCATCAGGCGTGTCCTGGCCGTAACCCACACCCAGGAAGCTTTCCCAGCAGCCCCCCAGAAAGCCCTAATTACAGGCCTTCGTGTGAGGAGAAGCTGCCACTGTCCTTGATGACAGGCTCCCCCCTCAGGGGGATGGTTTCACTTCTTCACCATCTTTACATACAAAAGCCCCAACCTCTGATGCCCTATGCGTCTCACACCCCTCAATTTCCCTTCATTATGCCCTTGTGAAGTTTCTTATAAAAGCTTAGTCACAGACAGGCAGCCTGAAGACAGGGTTAAATAACTTCTCTCTAAAGCGGCTGCACATGGCTTTATTTGCATCGGGAGCGGTCTGCACACAGACGGGAATGCTGACCTGAGCCCCTGAGGGAGGAGATGCCTCTGGCTGGCTGCCTTTCTGGGACCGAAGAGGCTGGAGGACCGCGTTCTCGAACGCTCAGGACACTGGCTTCCCCGCCTGGCCTGTCCCCATCGGGCTCTGTGACCTGCCACATCCCTCCGTGCTCTCTGGGGTCCTCGACTGAGGAAGATGAGTGTGGGAGCAGACGGTCTGCCAAGTTCCCTCCAGCTCCAACATCGTCTCAGTCTCCCATCATACCCCTGCGGTCAGGGTCAGGCCATGGCAGGCCGGGGCGGCCAGAGGGCAGGCTGAGGTCAGAGGACACAGGAGCCCAGGAGGCAGTGCTGCTGGGCTGCTCCTGGGAGCAGAAGCCACTTGTCTTCCTTTAGAAACAAGCCAGGAAACCCACTTCCTTTTCTTTCCTCAGCCGAGGAGAGTTTTTCCAAACCCGGCCCCATAAGGGTTTGCTGCACGTCCCTCTGGTTCCCTACAGCCAGCCTGACCCCTGCCCTCAGGCCACAGCCACCCCAGGCAGCTTTGTGCATAAACCCTCCTGCAGACTAAGAGGCTTCACTAAGTTCTCCAGCCCTGGAAGCCCGAGAGAAGAAAATATGGAGTCCCCCCAGGCAAACTCAGATGAAAGCCTGGCTTAGGAGCTTGGGGTCACAGGACTGCGAGGAGGTTCCGAGGGGGGCCAGCTGCAAAGCCTGGGATCTTCCTGTACCTCAGGCCCCGGTGGGAATGCAAACCTCCTCCATACACACCAACATGGCTTTTCCGCCCACCCTACAGCCGCTCTCTGGGAGTCAGGACTTGCCCAAAACTGGGGAAGGAATGTGGCAGGAATTCTCCTTCCTTCAAACAATCCTTTGTTGTGAGAAGTAGGCGGAGGGTGAGGGAAAATCTGCAGCCCCCTTTTTCATGTTTTTCTCCACAAACAGGCATCAGGCCTGTGCCACGTGCAAAGTCAGCTTATACTCAGCTGGGGTGGGGGTGGGGGGAGGGCAAAAGGCAGCCTTAGGGAAAAGGGGGTTCCTTCTGGCCAAGAGGAAGAGCTGGGCTTTGAACCCGAAGGCTGTAGATCTAGCAGCGTGGGCCCCACACCTGGTCTCCTCTCTGATGCGAGTGCCTGATTTTCTTCTCGGAACCCACCCCCGGCCCCAGCTCCCAGGTAAACAGGTGTCCTCGGCCAGTTCCGGTGGGTCAGTCATTGAATTCAATCCTGCAGGCCACGGAGATGGACCGAGGGACGGGGACAGGGCGATCGCAGAGGGAGTGATTTGAGGACAGAAGAGCTCTGTCTCTGGGGTTGCTGAGGTCAGTTAGCCAAGGATGGCTGGCAGCCATGTCACCTGTAAGAGCACCAGCCTGGCTGCTTAGTGACAGAGAGGACAGTGGGGACGTCAAGAAACGGTGCACTGGAGGGAAACAGAGTCCTGGTGGTGGGCGCTGACACCCTGAATCCAGTTGTACCTGAACCCCGATTCCCTTGACTTCTTAATTACATGAGCAAAAATTAAAATAATCTACTTTTTTACCCTGGCAATGAGTGCCAGTGAGTCTTGCTGGCCTTCGGTTTGGTTGACCGAGGTCAAGGATAATCATAGAAATTGCTTGAGAAAGGAACCCTGGCATTTGGGGGAGGATGTCTGAGCTGGTGACCAAGTCCCTTAGCCCCTGACACAGCTGCCCTGTGAGACAGGACGCAGGGATACTCATTCTACAGGGCCACTGTGCCTGGCCCCAGTGGATGCCTCCTACATTTGGGGAGTTGTTTGTTTTTACCACCAGGCAATAAAAGCACAGAAAGAAAGGGAAGGGCTGGGCATGTGTGAATGTGGCCAAACCAGCCCGACCCCAAATGCTGAGTGGAGTATCAATGTGGCCATGCATGCAGGCTTGCCAAGGTTCCACCTATGGTCCTGGCTTAATGATTATGATTGGTCTTTTAAAAAGTCCCTGTTTGATCAGTGAGTTGCATGGATCTCTCATATCCATGCTGTGCTGGGATCTGCTCGCCCATCTCCTCAACTATTAGCTTGAAAAAGGCCACAGTGAACGTATTTACATGACTCGAGTCAGCCAGTGCTACACTCAGAGCCCCTCCGCCAAGAGCCGTCGTTCACGTTGGCCGGCACACCACTGCTCACAACCGTGGCACAGAAACACCGGGGCCCCTGCCAGCCACCTGCACCAGGCTGTGTAAGGGTGGCCTCCCAGGAAGGACAGGAGAAAGCTGCCCTGTGTCTCTCCTCACGGCTCCCTGACGCCTTACTATCCAGAGTACCCTGCCTCTGCTCGAAAGCTTCTGGCCTGTGTTACAACACACCAGCTGGAATTTACACATGGGCAGGATGGGCTTCTTCAGATTTTCAAGACCACACTTCATGGTGGAGAGAGGGAGAGAGCAGGAGAAAGTTGGCTGTCTGCCAGCGGCGAGGAGGCACCCACTTGACCCTGCCTTTGGGCAGATGGGGTGGTCACATGCCCTGTGAAACCCCGAGTGCGAGTCAAACCTGCTGTGACTCAAGCAGGGATCCACTTCCCATTCTGGGCTCCAGCCCCTGCGTTTCCCAACAAACAAATAAAAACAACCTAGCAACACCCTGGGCTCACAGGTCACCCACAGAGAGGGCGTTGGCCCCCGCTTCTCCTAAGTGACATTCTTTGTGGTTTTTTTGTGGCACAGTCATGCAGACGTGTCATAATTTTCAGCCCAAGATGACTGTTATATGGAGGCAAAGATAGTAAATAACTGTGTGTGTGCGTGTGTGTGGACTTCTATGCATCACACAGAGCCTAATTTGGACTTGAGCACATAGCAGGAGGCCAGTGAATGGTTTATTGATTTGTGTGTGTTTTAATTAACCCCTTACATTAGACACTTCAAAGCTAAGACTGTTGTATGTCATAGATTTTAACACCTACCACCCGCTCCTCACCCCACTCCTTGCCCCTCACCAACGCATTTCAAACAGAATCTTATTTCCAGAGATTCTTGATAAATGCTATAGATTTAGAAAAATAAACCCCAGCCCCCAGCCCGCAACTCGGCACAGAGCAGGTCCTTCTAATTTCCACGGCTTGCCTGACCGTGTACGTTCATGTGTGTGAGAGTGAAGCAGAAAGACAGGTGAAGAGGGCATTTTCCGAGCTGAGGGCCGGGACTCCCGGGTGATACTCACCGCTGAGCCCACTCCAGGTGTAGACCCCAATGGGCCCCAGGAACGTCTGATAGGGGTTGCTGACGCTGTTGTAGAAGGAGAACCCAGAGCTCAGCAGCGAAGTCGACAAGCTGAGGACCAGGAACAGGATAACCACTGAATGCAGAGTTTTAGGGGAAGAATTGCTCAATGTCCCTAAAACTAAAACAAAGTTTGGTAAGTCCATAGTGCAAAATGCAAACATACCAGCTGTGGACCGGAAGGTCTTCACACACGCCCAGCAACCTCCGCGTTCTACCCACGCAGGCACTTGGGTTAGAAATGATTGGTCGGCATCTCTCGGGGGTCAGGACAGGAAGGGGTGGGACCTCGGGATCCCCACACACTCCCCTCTCTAGGCCTGTCCTTCAACCTCAGCTTGAGAATGTCACTGCAATGCTTCAGATAACAGGATCTATCCCCATTCTAGAGTCCCCTAGAAAAGCAAGTGTCCTTCTTAATAAGCTGCTGCAGGGCTGGACAACCTTCCCTCAGAACTGGCCGCAGACACTTACCAGTCTGGGTTACCACAGATTCACTGTAGGCTGCGTCCCCCTTGCTCTGAGCACTAACCCTGCGTCCACTTGGAGATGCTTACAGGGCAGGCTACCCCGAAAACCTGTGCCACTGAGGACCAGATAACTCGTGGTGGCCGTTGCAGAGAAGGCCAGGAGGGGCGGGGCTAATGGAGGTGACCAGGGACGTGGGAGCCTGAGGCTGGCCCGGTGACAGGGAAATGACCTCCATGTCTGCAAATCAGGGTGTAGGCCCGGCTTCCAGACCTGACTTCCCAGGAGCCAGAGGAGACCCAAGCAAGGCCCACGTGGCTCAAATGAGGAAGGTGGCCCTTGGTGAACCATCCGATTTCTTTCCAAACTAAATTCCTCTTCATTCTAACGAAGTTGTATAACATTTGCCTATTTCTTAGGCGTGAGGCAGCTCCGGATATGGCTTTCTTTTTTTAACATTTTTATTAGGGAATTGGGGGATGGGGAACAGAGAAGTTGCTGTCCTTTTGTTCTTCAGTCTAGTTGTGGAGGACGTTGCTTCACTGGCCCAAGTTGCCGCCATCATTGCGCTCTTCCCGGGCGAGGCAGATCAGTCGCCGGCTTCTGGACGGCCGCTCACGCTGGCTGCTGGCTACACACGCTGGCTGCTGGCTACACACAGTAGCCCGTGGCAACCCACTGCCACAGGGACTGCAGCCTACACCATTGCCGGCGACTCACAGCAGCCCAGCTCCAGGTTGAGCTGTTGTTCAGCATCTTAGCTGTGGAGGGCAGTGTCACTGGCCCTCATATGTGGGATCCGAACCGGGGCCTCTGGCGTCCCAAGCCAGCTCTTAACCAACGCGCCACTCGGCCGGCCCCAGATATGGCTTTTGAAAGACAGGCCGTCCTCCTGTTTCTGACCAGCACATCTCCCTCCCTGGGCCCATTTCCCACGCTGGGCTCCTTTGTCTACAATACAAAATGAGCAGCAGCAGAGGCGAGCCATCGCCACACTTACCTGAGACCCTAGCCGTGCGTTCATAAAACCCCTCCAAGGACTGCCAGTATGCTTTAGGTCCTTAGGACAGTGCCACCACATTACATAAAGTGTTTATAAGACATTCTGTGAAAGTCACAATGACATAAGGAACAAGATTTCAGAGTCCATCACAATATACCCACAAAATCTCCGGGCACTGACAGGTATGAGAACCACGGGGGCAGGGGGGTGAGTAAGAAACAGTAAAAGCCTCTTTCGCCCTCACATCCTGTTGGTCAGGCCCCAGGGAGACAGCAGGTAGCCTCTCACATCCTCACGACAGAGCAGCTTTAAAGAACAAACCAGAATGGCCCTGGAAGATGCAGGGGGAGAGGGGGGTGCGGTGTTCCTTCTGCTTTCCCTCGTGGACCACAGTCTTTCAGAAAACAGGGGCCCCCGGGACCCGGGGGAGACCCAAGGGTGCTGTGCGTGCCCTAGGAGGAGCTGCCAAGCCTCCTTGTGAAACGTGCCCTGGCAGCGAGGAGCCCTCTCTTTGCAAGGAGGCCCTTTCTGTCCCTGTGTGGCCTCAATCATTTAAAAGTTCTTTGTGTTGTGCCCAAACATGCATCTCTATGACTTCTGTCCAGGGTCCTAATGTCCCCTTAGGAGCAACACAAACTATACTGGCTCCCCTCCTGCCTGGCAGCCTTTCCACATATTTGAAAAAGGACATAAACCCACGTCTGCCAACGTCCTTCCAAAGCTACTGCCAGAACAGTGCTCCCGACAGAGTCAGCTCTGACCTGTGCATGGGTCTATACTCTCTCCATTTTTGAACCTCTAAATTCTATGAGTTCAGGTTCTTTTTTTAATTCAGCAGAGGGAGACAAATGTCCTGTCACTGAACAAACAGTGGGCATGAAATCGATCTGGCCAACATGTCTGCCATCAGACATACCTAGATATCGGGAGCTTACGGCAAGGACCCTTATGCAGACAGAAACGTCATCCTGATGGTCATGAGTTAGAAGTGTCCCTAGACAGAGCAGGGAGTGTGGGGAGAGGCCCCGGGAACAGCCCCAGGAGGTGAGGGGAGCAATGCCAGGGTCCTGGGCCTGACAGGAGGAGAGGAGCTTGTGACAGTGAGAGTGTGCAGACAAGAAAGGGGTAATCAAGAAAAAGGACGGGAGAAAGGGAGCGTGGCTACTGCCTCACGACGCCCAGCCGCACGTCCCTTGGAGACCCATCCATGGGAGAGCCGAGAGGACAGAGAGGGGGAATTATCAGCTCAGCGCCGTGAAGATGATGACTCCATCACCCCAGGCCAGAGAACATTTTGCTTCTCTCAGTGACCTGGGCCTGGGAGCAAAGCTCAACTCACACATGTTCAACCTACTCATAAACAAATGATGCCTGGACTATTGCACAATTTCTGTTAATGACCAACAGACATGCTGAAATTCTCAGCATCGCACTCCTTGGTATGCATCACAGGTAAGAAACCCTAGCAGGGCATCGGTTAAACTAAAAACGTAGTCCTGCCTGTCACCACCTGTTACCCAGGTGGGGGTGGGTGGGCTCTGAGGGGTGGCCACCTGGCTGGGACTGTCCCGATGGCCCTGACCGCAGGCTCTTGCTTGTCTGTCTCACCATGGGGGGTTTGTATTGCTAGAATTTAGCGCACACTGGTTTTGAAACTAGTGGCAGGTGACACCAGAGGAAGAGAGGGACGCTGGGAGAAGCCGGACACACCTGGTCAGAGGTGCAGCATCGATGCTGCAGATGTTTTGAAACTTAGTCACCAGAGGAAGAATTGCTTCCCGTTCCACACACACCCAGCTCCTCCTTGGGCAGAAGCGGGAGACTCGGATCTAACCAGAAGCATGCTGGGAGATAGATATGAACCCCGCCTTAGCCAATAAGAAACACTTCGGGTACTTAGCCTAGAAATTTCAGGGTGGGAAAATGTCATTTGTCCCAGGCACCTGTGGTGCTCTGGAGAACTGTTCTGCTTTATACACTTACTAAAAGCTGTAAGTGGATGTTTATTCACTTTTTCAGAGTAAATTAGAAAGTGACAATTAGGTTTAGCTTTGTTGTTTGACTTGGTAAGATCTGAGAGACATGGGTTTTCAAAAGGGGGTCAATGTGGAGCCCGCTGACTCATACTTTTCTGTGTATTAATGTGACAATTCATCTTAATTTTAACTGCCGCATTTTAAAAATTATATTTCAGCACTCTGAGTTCCCTGCCACACAGGTATGACAGCCGTATCTCCGCTCCCCACCCCGGCTCAGAACTCAGACAATGGAAGCTGGAAATTCGGTGAAAGTTAGTGAGAATGAGAGAACAACCAGCCCCCAGAGCATCTGACAGCTGCTCTCTGCCTACAAAATTAGCAAACATACATCCAGTTCTTTTTTTCTTCCTTTCAGGGGCCAAGCTTTGGAATCGGGAAAAGCACCTCACAAGTGGAACTAATTGCCCGGGTCCTGGCAGCCTCACGAGAGGCCGTGACGCCCGTAGCTGGGTGGATGGGCAGTGTGCAGACAGGGTCCTCCAGGCGCCCTGTGCGTGGGGCTGTAACCCTTCAGGACCCACTCGCCATCTGGCACTTCCAGCTCTGTTTTTCTGTAAGTCCTCGGAAATCGAGGGCGAGCTGGTGGCTTTGTGGGTGGGTGGGAACTGCCTCTCTACCCTCCTCTAGCACCTGGTCACCAGGGAGCCTGACCTGGCGGGGTCCTCAATCAGTGTGTCTCTGCAGGAGCTCATTAAGCCCACAGACCCCAGAGTGTGGGCAGTCCCAGCTGGTGTCCCCAACCTCTTGGAAATTTACCAGGGTTCTCTTGGGGAGAAGAGTGGAGAGACACCTCTTCTGCCCCCCATAAGCTCCACCTCCCAGTGCGGTAATGTCTCTGGGGGCAAAGAATTGGTCACTCCTCCCCCGAAATGTATGCGATACGTACAGGGAAGGGATGGTGGGTCAGGGTGGTAAGGAAGGGGCGTTTTGTAAATTTTGGAGAAATAAGCCTCATTTGTTTTCCTGGCAATTAATTGACTTTTGCAGCAGCTTTACTTTCTGAATTATTTTTAGCTTGGGCGAAGAGGACAGTTTTGAGCTCCTGTGCACAAAAGGGGGTAATTGGGAGGCGATTGGTCAGGGTGGAACTGCCCTGTGCTGGCACGGCCACCTGCATATACCTTGGCCCTGAAGTTCATGCATGGTGGGTGCTAGATTTAACTGATGGGAGGCCTTTTTTTTAGAAAGACTAAATGGTGAGTCCACCAAGGCCAGGAGCTGTGTGCAATTCTCCTCAGCATCCAAGCCCCTCACTCACATAGCAGCTGCTCGGGACGTGTTTTTGAACTGAAATGAAATATCCAGAAAGCCTGAAGTAGCCAAGGCAGCATGCTCACTGATGGACACAGTGGGCCTGTCGTCTGGACCTGGGCAGCGAGGACACCTGTGGATCTCTGGCCAGCCTGAGCTGCCCAAGCAGTCTGCTTACACAGCGGAGTTTCATTACCAGGTCCAAATGGTCATTTTCCCCAACAATTGACCTATTGTTGGCTGAATTATTTTGGCACTTTGAAATCAGCCATTGTCACTTCGTTCTGCTCGTTCGTGTCAAGATCTACAGCCCAAATTGGCACAATGTGATAAACGCTATGCAGAAATAGAACTGAGCTTTGTAATATTCATTACTCTCTGAAGATTTTCAGTGTGACCTCATTCTGGCCGAGAAGCTGACACGGTTGACTTCTCAAATGGAAAAGCCAACCTATCGCTGTTGGGCAGGAACGTGGCATTGGCACAGATTTTACTGTGCTGGCGATGATTGGCTCCTGACTTGAAATAAGCCCCGTGTGGTCATGAGAAGCCAACAGGAAACAGCCATGTCTCACTGCGACAGCAGCTTTGCTCTCTGAGGGGGCACGCGTGGGTCTGCCATAGCTGGACACACGACAGACGTCCTAGTTACATGACTTTCCCCCTTCTTTTCCAGAGAACTGGTGATAAGTGTTCCAAGTTCAACAGTTGCTAAAATCATCAGCAATGAAGCACCCCGAGGCCCTGAGGGCCCGAGCAGATATCAACCGGAGCAGCTGGGTGGCACCTTCACTGACTTATCTCCCCCAGCACCTGGAGGCTGACAGCGACTCCAGGAAGTTGGGATGTGGCTGTCCAGGAACAAAGACCAAAAGGAGAGCCAGGCAAAGCCAATGCAAATTGTTGCACCTCCTTGCACATTGCAGTGGGGGCCTGCTCGACCCTGCCACTTTCAGGGCTGTCCCTGACCATGGCTGTCCTGCTATGTCAACGCCACTGTGGTTCCATCACACACAGGGCTGCGGAGCCACACTCTGGCCGACCCTTGCCTCCTCTGAGCTTCCCAGCATTAGGTAGGCAGGGCTGTCAGTGGAGTCATTTATTGCAAATTGGAACCAACTGGTGCCAAACAGACACCGCATGAAAATCAAAAGATTCACAGGGTGTTATCACATATTTTTAAATCTCTGAATGTGTCTGGAGAGCCGGAAACTAGTACACTGCTTGGTTTTGAAAATGCTATTCACATAACCGAAAATGCGACTGAATCTTTGAAAGTCTTTGTTTCTAGCCTTAGAGAGCCGAAATAGGGGCGGGGACCGCACGACACTATTCCATGTTCTCCCGAGAGGCTGAGGCTGGCGCTGGGGGAGGTGTGACGCTGCTGAATCTGCGGGGGAGACCTTGCTTTTGGTAACGTCTCAAAGACAAATTTATAACTTGGAACTATAACCATGTTGCTCTGGATTTAAGTAAATCATTTCATTACTAAAGTCACAGACAAGAGCTAGACCCTAGAGGGGGTGCCTACGATGCAAGCTCCTACCGCCACGCGTTGTTCAAGGATCAGATCCCGCATTTGAATAAGGTAAAGAATGATGCGTCATTATGAGTCAAGAGGTAATGGCTACATGATACCTGATGGTATCTGCGCAACCCCTGTATGCAACACTGTGTGAAGCAAAATCCATCTCAGGTGCTAAATAATTTACTGTTGCTTTTAAATCTAGAAAACATAATGGTATATAGTCAAACTTCAAAAGTCAAAGAAGTAGCTAATTCAACTTATTCTCAATGAATTTCTATTTTCCATTAATTGAGAGTAGGGCATCATTGTAGAAGAAATCAGAAAAGGATTTAGGCGTTCCTGTGAACTATATAATGATCAGAATGAATGGAAATTTAATATCATGTCCAGCAACAATGAGATTTGGGGAGGTAAAAACACAAACTCAAGTTGGTTAAAGAAATGAACTTGAGATAGAGGAATAAGAAATGGACTACATTTTCCACTTTAGTTTTTCCTCACGTAGACACTACTAATGCAGCTGTGGGCAGAGGCTGTTGCTCCAATTAAAAATCCACAGTCTTTACCAGTCGTCGGTGAACTGCGGCTCGCGAGCCACATGCGGCCCTTTGGGTATGTACATGTGGCTCTGAAGTCAAATTGAAAATGAAAATAAAACTACCATAGTTTCATTTATAAAATCTTTAAAGGATATTATTCACATAATGGTAATTTCATTTGTTTTATGGCTCTCGAATAATTTTTAAATTGTTGTGAGGGACAGGATTGGCTATTCCATCTCAAAAGTTTGCCAACCGCTGGTCTATACAGTTAAAAATTATGTCCCCACTGGCTGTTGGGTACTGTATTGCTGCTGCATATTTTTTCTTAATTATTTACTTGCCAATAACCTCAGTAGGAGCACTTAACTTAAACCCAGCCTGTGCTACAACCCGATGGCTGTGCTAATAGACACAGCCAGACCTGAGGAGGCTGAAATGAAGATACTGTGAATTTTCAAAATTGAAAATACCTGTTCATATCTAGAACCCAATTCAAAGCTCACAAGGAAATTATATTTGAATGGTTACTTGGCTCAAATATAGGATGACATAAATGTTCCCCGGTTCATTCAATCTCACTATCCCCATTCACATGAGTTTCTCATTTACCTTCAAAGTGTTTGCCAGATTCTGCAAGTCCATGAAGCTCACGAGTGCTCTCACCACGAAAGAGTCCGTAGGAGATCTCGACACTGCCGTTGGAAGAGGAGTCAGTAATGTCAATGGTACTGCTGATCCATTCTTGAGTCGCAAGAACAGCGCAAATTACAGCAAAAGATCCGAAGCTTGTGAAAAAGCTTGATAAGAACATCAATGTTTTCTTTGTCGTAGGCATTTTCTCAGGAAAATAAGGGCCCTAGGGTAAAAAAATTATATTTTTTGTAAGATTTTTGGACCTTATCATTTGAAGTCCAGAATTTAGAAATGGAGTCTAATAATTTGTTCTAAACTATAAAAGCTTGCTCTTCATAGGAAGGGCTATACTAACAAGCTCTGGACTATGAACATGGTCATAAAGACTTATAGTCACTGAACTTTGGTCTGGAGTAAGGGGTTGCTATGGTTACAGCCAACCAGCAGAAACAAGAGGTAGGCATGGTCTTCCCAAGGCTTCCTCACTCACACAATTCATTATAACTCTTTGTCTAGTGCCCTGGGAGCAAGTTCAGCTACTAGGTCAGGACAGGACTAGAATTCCTGAATAAGGGGGGAGCAGGGGATCTGTATCCCCCAAATGTTGCTGATTTCAGCAGCTGACAACATAGCATCTCAACTTCTTCATGAATTGCTTTACTGGTTAATGACTTGACGACCCTAAAAGGAAACCTTAAGGAGAGTAAGCCTTTGCTAAAGTTACCATGGAGTAGAAAGAGAAAAGTTCACATGGCCTTTTTTTAGACCTTATTAAAGAGGTGTTCCTTTCAAATAAGACCACGTGTGCATATTAAACTATAACTTGAGAGGTTTTATCTTTATTTTTCTTACTTAGTACTCTGATGGAAGTAGTTCTGAACATTCTTGCATTAGGTTTTTATGCATCCTATCCACTCTGCCTGTTGAGTGACTGATTATTTATAGGTGATCACTTCTGGCCCTCAGGGAAATGCCCCCACTTGGCAAGCAGATCATTTCTTGAGATAAAAATAGATGTTCACATATTTTGCACTGTTGTTTTTATTGTATTCTTTGTTTGATTATATGTGCGTGTGTGTATATATATATATATAGATATAGATATATAGATATATAGATATATCTCCACACCCTGTACTTTTCTTGACTAGCACCTAACTTATTTGTGGAATGTGTTGATTGTTTATTTTTCCCACTAGAGTAACTGGACTGTGGGCTCCAGCAGGCAGACAGGTTTGCTTTGCTCACCACTAGATCCTAAGGTCTGTCACAGGACCTGGCACAGAGCAGACAGTCAGCAAATACTTGTTGAGTGAATTATTGGAAACATAGGCACAAATACTCCACCATTTCAGACATGTATGCTATTTCAATTTTTAAATTATGAGTAAAAAAGAACAATGCATGAACATCCTTCTACATAAACCTTTGTCCATGTAGCTGAGTATTCCCTTGCTTTAATTTCTGGAAGTGATTTAAAGCATGTGAACTTTTACTGAAGCTGTTGCTATGCAGCACTCAGTTGTTCATTAGAAAACGGACACTAATTCGAGCAGCCCCCGCCCCCCCATCCATAACACAGTGAGTGAGCACGCTTTACTGTATATTCACAACATTCTGCACTATTGGGAAAATAGATTTTTTATTGAAGACTATTTATTTTGACTACATTTTTAAGGGGTGGCACAGAATTTCAGCGGTTATTTCCTTTCAAACCATTTTCTGGTGTAAGAATAATTTTGTATCATGATACAAATATTATATATGCTCATTACAAATATAAATATCAAATAGAACTAACAAAAGTGAAGAATAAAGCAAATATAATAAAAAATTCACCATAGAAGAAGTAATTCTGTTATATTTGGGCAAAGACTTGTATACCCATATTTTTATGTCCATACATACATTTATATTAAAATCAAGTTCTACTTCATGTTCTAATTTATAATCTTCTATTAAAAACCTCAACAATCTGTCTTGAAATTTTTTTATATCAATAAATAAGGTTTGGGGGCGGCCGGTTAGCTCAATTGGGTGGAGTGCAGTGCTCATGGCACCAAGGTTGCTGGTTCAGTCCCCACATGGGCCGTGGAGCTGCGCCCTCCACACCTAGATTGAAGACAACTACTTGAGTTGGAGCTGATGGGTCCTGGAAAAACACACTGTTTTCCAATAAAAATAAATAAGTAAATAAAAGTTAAAAAATTTATTTAATCTAATAAATAAATAAGGTTTTACCACTGTACAGAGTAACCATAATTTATTTATACATATTCTTTTTGGTGAATATTTTAGTTGTTCCCAGCTTTTCACTGCTGTATGCATGATGTTATGATGCTCCTTATATGTTCAATTATGTTAACTTTTCCAGGAATTTCTTTGGGATAAATTCTTATAGGCAGAATTGTTGAGTCAACAAATATGTGCATGGCAGCAGAAAGTTTGGGCCAATTTAAATACGGACCAACAGCACTTTGTATTAGATTCATTTCCCACACCCCCACAATACTGTTGATACTTTTTTGTTTGTTTGTTTTTAAGATTTTTATTGGGGAATTGGGGAAGGGGAGCAGACAAGTTGCTGTCCTTTTGTTCTTCAGTCTAGTTGTGGAGGATGTTGCTTCACTAGCCCATGTTGGTATTATCATTGCACTCTTCCAGGCTGAGGCAGATCGGTCGCTGGCCTCTGGACGTCTGCTCATGGTGGCTCTTGGCAGTTCATGCTGGCTGCCAGCTGCTCACGCTGCCTGCTGGCCACTCACGGTAGCTTATGGCAGCCCACTGCAGCCCCACTGCAGCCTACGCCGTCACTGGCAACTCACGGCAGCCCAGCTCCAGGTCGAGCTGTTGTTCACCATCTTAGCTGTAGAGGGTGCAGCATCACTGGCCCTCAGGTGGGATTCGAACCGGGACCCTGCTGCTCAGAGCTGGCATCCCAAGCCAACTCTTAACCAACGCACCACTTGGCCAGCCCAATACTTTTAATCTTGCACAAGCTGAGAGAGAACAAATAGTTTGTTGGTATCTTTTCTTATTTTTATTTTTTTGGAATCAGTTAGGGTAACACATGTTAATATATTTATTATCCATTGGTATTTTAATTTTCATAAGTTTTCTGTTCAGTGTTGATTCATTTATTACATAGAAATGTTCTTTTTATACAGTAGGTATGTTAACCTTTATTAATTATATGTATGTATATGCATATATATATATATATACAATGAATATATACATATATTCATTTTGTTGTTCCTATTTCACTTATATTTGTAAGCTTTTTTTTTTTTACCATACATATTTGTAGATATTTTGCTGCCTCAAGTTAAAAATGTCTATTTAGTCAAATATTTCAGTCTTAGGCTTTATGCTTTCCGGATTTGGTATCCCAACTCCAAAGCTGGTATCATCTCTGTTGTTTTAGTATCTCCTTATTATCGCCTTGTTTTATTGAATTCTTTCTACTATATGACTTACAGCATAATATTGTACATGTAGGGAACACTGCTTCTGATCACTGGGCTCGATGTTTTTCCAGACTGAAGGGGGTTTACTGTCTTCCTTTCCATCTGCTATATATTTACACGTTACCTGGGCATTTCTTTTGACCTTGCCCATGCTTACAGCTTGCAGTTCTGTCCAGCCATGGCTCTGCTCCAATCCATGGTGAGTAACTACCCTGCTGGCCTCTTACCTCGCCTGAGCCTACTGTACCTTATCTTCTCCAAGCTTCAGTCTTTGGTTGGATGGGTTCTAATCATTTTTTCCCCCTAAATGCATCCAGGAGGGAAGAATGGATGGAGTTTTGACAAAACACCTCCCTCAAGTTGGCTTAGATTACAAAAGTTTGGGGCAACGGAAGTCCCATGCATAACCTGGTGCATGGCCTCAATCAAGGTCACCTTCTCTTGTTCTCTTTCCATCTGCTGGTCATGTTTCTTGTGGTTCTGCTCCTGAGTTCATGGGCTTTCATCCTTGTCGAGAGAGAGTGCTGTCACACACCCACAGACCTAGAGTTGGAGGGAGAATTCCTTGTTCTTGAAATTGTTTCTGATTCACTTTGACTTTGGGGAGGCAGAATCTGTGATCTTGCTCCAAGTCAAGAACCTTTCCAGCCAGGTTTGGGAATATTCCACAGCATGTCATTGGGGACTATCTCACCCCTCTATTAGGAGTAAAAGGAGGCCTGGGGACCCTTTAGGAACAAGGACTGCAGGGAGCATGGACTAGGGCAGACCAAGGCTGGGAGTGGAGGACAAAAGCAAAGTGATGTCGGAGCCTGTAGTGAAGAGGCCACTGCAAATAGAACACAGCCTAGAACAGGAAGCCTTCCCAGATGGGGGACAGCAAGACCAATACCTGGGATGAAGGTCACATCAGCAGCTGGGGGTGGCGGCGGCAGTGGGGGGGCGGGGGTGGCTCTGGCTGAGGACTTCCCATGGTTCAGTCATTTCAGTTCCATTGTCGCCATTTTGGGCATACGTGATTACCATCTCTATTTCCTTAATTTTCTAATTGACAATAACACTATCTATATTAGCTTAGTTGTAATAACATCTGAAATGATGTATAGTACATAATATTTTTTATAATGCATGAAAATAAATTTGTAATATGAAATAAAAAATGGCCATCCTTGTACTATCTACTATCTACAATCTCCTCTGACCTCCTCCACATGCATTGCTGCTAATGGAATCTTACTTTGGAAAACGCTAGTCTAGCTGATATGAAGAGAGAAAACGTCTCTACATTGTCAGAAGGCATTGGAACAAGCTGTTATCTTTTATCTTTTTTACCACAATTTGTGGCTGCTGATTTCTTCTGTTTATTGTGAGGGTTATTAAACATCAGCTCTAAAAAACCCCACAAATATGCACCTCATAACACATAGAGTTCTAGACTATGTAACAGGGTTTATTTTACTCTTTTTAATTAATTCATGTACACATACTCTCTTGTAATGAAAATGTAATCGTTTATATATACTTTGGGATCTTTTTAATAGAAAGACTGCCTTAATATGATCATAATTTTCCATTAAAAAGAGGCACTTTTTTTAATACATAAAAGCCTTTCTTTTCTTTCTTTTCAAATTTTTTTTTATTGGGGAACAGTGTGTTTTTCCAGGACCCATCAACTCAAAGTCGAGTAGTTGTTTCAATCTAGCTGTGGAGGGTGCAGCTCAGCGGCCCAGGCAGGGATCCAACCAGCAGCCTTGGTGTTGGGAGCACTGTGCTCTAACCAACTGAGCTAACCAGCCACCCCCATAAAAGCCTTTCTTAACATTGCAATGCTACAGAAAATTAAAACATTTAAAAACTAAATTTTTATTTTGCTTTAATAACTGATAAGAAATAGCTGCCTATACCCTATTTACCAAGAGAGCTTCTTTAGTATCTCAGTGTTGCATTATAACCCATTACCAACTTTTCCCTCAATTCCTAGAGAAAATTAAAAATATTTGCAAGACAAAAACTATGTGAATAACAAATCATTCCACAAGTGATGATGTTCTGTCGATTACAGATGCTAATTTCATAGTGAGAAATAAAGAAATTCAGTTATTTCCTTTTGCCAGAAACCTGTGGAAGGTCTTATAGTTTCTAAAAGAAGTTGAGGGGGAAATAACTTTTGCCAAAGTGTAAACCTTTCTGAGAGACTGTGATTTTTTAAATTGAGGCATAATTGACATAGAACATTAGTTTCAGGTGTACAACACTGATTTGATATTTGTATGTATTGTGAAATGATAACCATAAGAAGTCTAAACATTCGTCACCATACATAGTTACAATTTTTTTCTATCTATGGTCAGAATCCTGTATAAGACTGAATGAGGAATAGGGGTTATTCCATGCATTACAAAACCATTGGAAGTACATCATGGAAGGTGCTGGACTGTTTTATTATTTCAATTTCTAGACCTTAGTTTGAATCACATGTTCTTATCATATATATAAGAAGAGAAATAACTGGGGGGGGGTTGTCACTTTGTGAGGGGTGAAATGTCTAACTATTACATTGTTTTGTACACCTGAAACAAAAAAAAGAGAAGTAATTAGCGGTATTCATCACTGTGGGTGGAGAAATTACACACACACACACTGTATTGTCCATCTACTTAAAAAACAACAATATCCAGTGACTAAGAATTTTATACTCAAACATCTTTCATATGAGTAAATCACAACAGTTGCTGCCTGTGGCAGAAGTGAGGGTTTTCCTGGGAAAACTTTGAGTGAAAACTTTCTAGGGTGATAGAAATATTCAGCATTTTGATAGGGATACGTATTTCACTCGTTATGTATTTGTCTTTATCTGTTAAACTGTACACTTAGGATCTGTATAACACGTGTATATTATTCATCAGTGAAAAGCAATCCAAGAAGGAAAAAAAGGAGAGTTAAAATGTGAGGAGGACCTGGAGGACAGAACAACTGTCTTTTTTTCTGGAATAGTAGAGGGATCTTCCGGCAAAGGTCCTGTGCGCTTCATTTCCCTGGCTAATAAGTGTTAATACCTGGGCATAACTTGGAAAAGGGGGGAGGGGAACAATAATTTGAGTAATGTAAAAATAGAAAGTCCTGGACCTTTTACAGTTATTCATGCTGGCACATTCTAGAGATCATAATAGCCGTCCTGAGTTTCCTCTTTGTGGGACAGGCCCTGAAGTCCGCTTTTCCTTGCTTGCCACGCCCTGTAGCCAATCAATCCCTAAGACCTTCTGATTTTGTGTCCTAAAGTAACTTTATGTTAATGATTCTGTACAATGTTTAAAAGCAACTCCAGTGTGCTTCCTACATACTCATTTTGCCTTTTTAGCTTACCCTCCAAGAAAACACTTCTGGCCTGAGTGTTTTCATTTTAATTGGTGTCTATTGCGCCCTTACAGCTTGATGAGCATTTACCTGGGTTACCTCGGAGACATCCAAAAGCCCTGTCCTGGAGTCAAACGGAAGACAACACACAGAACTGCAGTTAATGCTAACAGTCACAGGAAAACTGCCTCCAGCTGTGCTTAACAGCAAGGCGCTGCTTGGCTTGGTGAAGAGGAGGGGAGGGAGCGGAGAGAATTAGAAGATGGCAGAAGCCGAGCCTAGGGTGGGATTAGACAGAAAGTGAGTAAGGGGCTGAGGAGGAAGCTGTGGCTCTCACGAGGGCTGAGGCCTGGGGTCCTAGAAGATGAGGATGGCTAGGTGTTCAGGATGGCAGGAGGCTGGGGGAGGTCCTCAAAGCCTAGGACGAGAAAAGGGGAACGGAGTCTGATGTGGATAGGGACCCAAGAGGCTGAACAGGGATGGCTAAGACGGCGCGAGAGGCTTCTGTATGGAGATCAACACAACTCCGCTTTTGTGTGAAAGACAACATGCTTTTGTGTGACAATGATGGATGTCTTCAGGGTTTCAAAAAAGTTGAGGGACGTTGCTAAATTCCTGGAAGAATCCCCGCGGTCCCACAGAGAGGATATTACCAGGAGGGAAGAGCCATCTGCCCCTCATCATGTTACCAGGGCTGCTGGCTTTCCAGTAGCAGATGTCTGACAAAGGCAACTTGTCTCTCCTTGTATCACAGTCTTTGCCCCCGCAGCCCTGCAGTGTTAACAGGCGGAACTCATCAGAGCTTTGAAATGATGGCCTTCAAGTGCAGAAACCTGGCTCCGCAGGCCATCACGTGGGAAAAGCCAGAGCTGGGTGACGTCATGGGGCTACCTGGCCGCACCCAACCTGGGCGTTCCTGGAGGGCATGCTCTGGAGGGAGCCGCGCCCTGCTGGGCTCCAGGGAGACAAGTCTGCCTGGCGCTGCCTGCTGGGGCCCCTCCTCTGATCTGTCAGCCTACAAGCTTTCACGGAGCACCTCCCGGCTACCAGAGTTGTGTGAGGCGCTCAAGATGGGGAGGTGATGGAGAAAAGCAACAGCCTGGGAGCTCACAGCCCTGAGGGAGGGGTAGAGGAGGGGAAAGGACTAAAACCAAAGAAGTGACTCTACCTCGTGAGGGAGTAGGGAGCGTGGGAGGGGAGGCATCTTCCAGAGGGTTTGTAAGAAACTGCGGGCCGGTGCAGAGGGCGAAGCATCCCAGGTGGGGATGTGCGTGTATGTGACTCTGAGCTACGGCACTGAGGGCTGCAGCCCTGTGAGCAAGGCTCAGGGCTCAGGAGCAGCTGCCACGTCAGGCAGAGCCTCCCAGGAATTTGGGTTCTTTTTTTTTTCTTTCTTTTTTTTTTTAAAGATTTTTATTGGGGAATTGGGGGTATGGGAACAGTGCTGGGGAATTGGGGGAAGGGGAACAGACAAGTTGCTGTCGTTTTGTTCTTCAGTCTAGTTGTGGAGGACATTGCTTCACTGGCCCAAGTTGGCACCACCATTGCGCTCTTCCCGGCCAAGGCAGATCAGTCGCTGAATTCTGGACGGCCGCTCACTGCGGCTGCTGGCCGCTCACGCTGGCTGCCGGCTACAGACAGTAGCCCATGGCAACCCACTGCACAGGGGCTGCAGCCTATGCCATTGCCGGTGCCTCACGGCAGCCCATCTCCAGGTTGAGCTATTGTTCAGCATCTTAGCTGTAGAGGGCAGTGTCACTGGCCCTCATATGTGGGATCCGAACCAGGGTCCTCTGGCGTCCCAAGCCAGTTCTTAACCATCGCGCCACTCGGCCGGCCCTTGGGTTCTTTTCTGAATGGAGAATCTTACGCAGAGAACTGGCGTGACCTGGTGTCATCTGTAAGGGTCCCCCTAGGTGACGTGTGGCTAAGGGGTCATGAGGGAAGGGATGGGCAGTGAAGTCCGGCTTCTCCGTTGGTTTCACAGCTCTTTACACCCGGGGGGAGGGGAGCTGCTCTCTGGACAGTCCATCCGTGATGGGCTCAGCCAGTAGGTGCCCATTGCTCTTCAGTCTTTGGCGTCTACAGCTCTGTCCCGAAGTGCCCCCAAAGTTGTCTGCTGGCCACTGATGCAAGGTGGGGGTAACTCCCTACCTGCCACCTTCTCACCATTGCGTCCTTCATTCACAAGCCCTAAGGAGTGAGGTGTCTACAACAGGGATGTAATATTCCTCGTAGGGTTGGGCCTTGGACGGGCGCAGAGGGCACAGCGCAAAGGTTCAGAGCCAACATGACACAACGTGTATCCTTTCTGCCCTTGTGATGGAATTGCCTTTAAGACCTCCCTAAATAGCTTACAGGCCACCTGGAAAGCAGTTCAGAACACAGCAGACCCAGACCCCCTCCTAGCTGCTGCTCTTCCTGGGTTGGACGTGTTAAACTTTGCCCGACTGCCTTAATGACAAGCAGACCTTTCATCATCCATAAGTGGGCACCCTTATTCTGAGGAGGACACAGATTACACGGCTCTCTCTACTTCTCCCAACCAGAAGTGGTACCGGGCGTCTTGTACCGACCACATGACTCAAAGCCTGATCCCAGCCAAGCCACTTCCTGGTGCCCAGGGTCCAGGCAGGAAGGGCCTTTCCCTCTTGTAAGAGTGCCTGTGACACCTTGGCACACTCCACGCGCGCCTGGGTCTGAGCAGTGGGGGCTCAGCCAGGATCTCCTCGGAAGGGGCACCAGACTGGGTGAAGGGACCTCCGGGTTAGCTGGGAGCCTAGGGGCCTAGGGCCATCCCTGCGGGGCGGGGCCATCCCTGCGGGGCGGGGCCATCCCTGCGGGGCGGGGCCATCCCTGCGGGGCGGGGCCACGGCCCCAGGTGGGGCGGGCGCCCGGGGTGCGCTCCCGAGGCCGGACACCAGGCGTCGCCCCCGCTCCTCGCAGCGCCGGGCCCCCGCCCCCGCCGTGGAGCCGGAGCCCGGCTGGAGCGGAGGAGGCGGCGGGACCCAGCCGGACAAATTTCCTGCTCGGCTGCGGGCGACGGGCAGCACGGGTGCCGGCAGCAGGAGGCGGCGCACGCGGCGCCCCGACCCCGAGGCCTCGGCGCGTCCCCACGGCCCTCCTTCGCGCCCGGCAGCAACGGAGGGGCGCCCGGCCGGGCGGCGGGCGGGCGTCTGGGAGATGCGGAGTCGCCACGGCGGCGGGATTGGCGCCACCGGACCGGCCCCCCTGAGGTGAGCGCGCGCGGGGTGCGCGCCGGGGGGAGCGGGGGGCGGTGCGCCCCTCTGGTGGCCGTGCGCCCCGGGTGGCCGGAACAGGCCGGGGACGCCGCCTGGGCGCCGCCGCGGGAGGGAGGGGCCGCGCCGGGGAGCCGGGTCCCCCAGCCGGGTCCCTGCCGGCCCGCTGCGCGCCGGGTGCCGGTGGCCGGGGACCGCACGACGCCGGGTGCTGACCCCGCGGAGCCCCCAGCCCAACTTGGCGACTGCGGCCGCCGCGCTCGCGCTCGGTAAACGGACCGGCAGAGCGTGTGTCTGCGGTGGCGGCAATGCTAGGGGACGTGAGTGGAAGCGGGCGAGACCGAGAAGGGGCGCCCGCGGGTGTGGTGGGGGCTGCGCGCTCACAAGGGTGGAGACGGGAGCCTTTTGAGAAAGTGTTTAGGAGTTGTGCCAACTCCGGGAGGGGCAGGGGCTGCTGCAGGGGTGCAGCCTGCTGGTCCCAGCGCCTGGTGCCTTCTCAGCGAGGGGAGCGGAGCAGGGTGCAGCCGAGGGGCTCAGAGATGCTCTGGGGAGACCGGGGAGCAGGCAGGCCTGCCTGGTACTGTTCACAGTGTCGGTCGGTGACCTAAGGTCAGAGTTCAGCGCGCTGCCAAGCCTGTGGGCTCCCTGGGACCATCTGGGGAAGCCTGGCAGCCCACAGGATGGAGAGGCACAGCCAAGCCCTGCTGTGACCTGCAGGACTGACCTAAATTCCTTCCTGGCATGGCGAGCCTTTCTAGAAAGGTTGAAGAGTTACACTTGCACATTCAGGATACTGATTTGCCTTGGCTTGGGACCACTCCATTAGAGTTCCAATCCAAGAAAGTGAAGGAAAGGAGAACGCAGCTCTGTGTTTGTATTTTGCGGTGGAAGATGGTTGAGTTGAATGAAAACCAGCAAAGGATGGTCATGTGTTTTAGAGTCATTGTATCCGTGTCCAGTCAGCTGTTGACCCCAGGTGCTCCTTGACACCGGTGCCTGGAGGTTTGTGTGTCCCAAAGGTGGGTGAAATTCTACCTCTGCAAAATAAATAAATACCCATGCCCATTTAAACTGTGTGTGTTGGGGTGGGGGCGGGGGCAGGGGCAGGTGTGCTTTTCCAAAACCAGTGCAGTAAGCGAAAGGAGGGCATGAAATGGGGGGGTGTGCGCAGGTGGCGAGTCTGGTATGAGACAGAGCTCTGTGTGAAAATAGGGGTGGGGTCTGGGCTTCCTGAGCACAGGCTTTAACCCTTTGGGGAGCAAAAGGCCATGTGGTGACATGAAACAGGCCCAAGAGGTGGGGGCCGTGCTCTCAGCCTGTGGTGTCACCCAGCCCTTCCCAGATGTGGCACTGCCTCTTACTGTGACCTCAGGAACAGAGGTCTTCGTTCTTAGAGTTAGTGATGCCTACGAGTCAGCTCTCGCCAGCTCCCCAAATACCCTCAGACTGAGCTAGGAAGTGTCCACGTGAGCTAGGAAGTAGATTTGTCTCAGAGAAGACCAGGTCCTTGGATGTATCGGGATGGTTTTAGATTTAAAACCATACCCCCTTGCGCCCCACCCCCACCTCCAGCCAAATCAATTGTGGGAAGCGGATAATGGAGTTACTGCCTCTGTGAAGCTTCCTGGGACCCCTGTGGAGGGACAATGCCTATGAAGCAATGCGGTCAAGCCCACAGGCCTCACTCTGTGGAGGGACAGCTGGCAGGGAGGGATGTGTCAGTGCGTCTTTGGCAGATTGCAGGAGGCCCCACAGCTCCGTGTTCTGATGAGTGACCCCTTCCCTCCAGGGACTCATGTGTGTAAGTCCATCAACCCCTGGGAGGGGCTGTAGGGAACGTGCGGAAGAGGCTGAGGGTGCATGGGGGGAGGGGCACATTGAACGTGGATGTGTGAGGCATCAACAGTAGTTGACAGTTGGTTCGCAATGGAGCTGAAATGTGGATTTCAACTGGTCAAAATACGCGTCTCCTCCAAACTATGGCGCCATTGGTCCACGTGGCTTGGCCTCCACCGCCATCATCGCAGTCTAAGGCACCTGCTTTCGGCAACATTCCCTCCCTGCGAGTCAAAGGTGCCTGTCCAGCCCAGACCGCTCCTGCAATTCTCAGGCCCAGCTGCCCTCTTGACATTTCTCCTGGGATTTCACATACCTGCAGCTTAACCTGCCCCAAACCAAAGCCGTGATTTCCGCCCTGCCCAGCCCAGCACTCTCCCAGCACTGTCTTCGTCCATCTAATCGCACCAGCTGCCACCCTGCTGTGGAAAGATATGCTGGATTGTAGTTCCCTAAGGACAAGCTGTGTCCTCGGCACCAGCTAAGGACCTGACACAGGGGGCTTGTGACACCTACCACTGGACGATGGACACGTGAGGACAGGGACGTTTCAGGAGCACATCTGCGATTGGATGGATGGACACGTGAGAACAGGGACATTTCAGGAGCGCCTCTGCTATGCAGATGAGCTAGTGTATTTTCAGTGGGTGTCAGAGCGCTTGGTAGGCAGCCACACGTTTTTGCTGGTGTAGACCAGCGGTTCTCAACCTGTGGGTTGCGACCCCTTTGAGGGTCGAATGACCCTTTCACAGGGGTCGCCTAAGACCATCGGAAAACAAAAAGATACTTACATTATGATTCATAACAGTAGCAAAATTACAGTTATAGAGTAACAATGAAAATAATTTTATGGTTGGGGGTCACCACAATATGAGGAACTGTATTAAGGGGTCATGGCATTAGGAAGGTTGAGAGCCGCTGGTGTAGACTGAGCTGAGTCATGGAGTGATGAGAGAGGTCTGTCCAGGGGTTACGTTGCCAATCCTGGAGACGCTGTGCGTATTTGCTAAAATGACTGTTTGAGCTGGACCAGAGAGAGCCTGAAAGACTCTCCCAAGGAGACGGGTTTGGGAGCAGTGAGGGGACGCCATGCAAGCTGCCCTCCATCCCTTTCTTTACTGGGTCCTTTTCATTGATAACGTTTTTGAGTTACACATACAGAGTTTCTGCTGTCAAAACAGGAGCGAATGTATCCATCAGGATAAAGGCTGTCCTGCTTAATGTCTGATTATCACTAGGATAAAACTGTGTTCCAAGATCATCTCCAGTCCCTTTGGCGTGCCATCATCCCCTAGTGAACCAATGGCTGGGCACCCCCAGGCTTCCCAGGACCTCAGGGGTAGAGCCTGCTCAGCCCCCTGCTCTAAACCTCCTTCCCCTTCAAGCCCAGCTTGGGGACTCCTACTTGTCCCTCGAGGCCCACTTCCAGCCCTCCCACCCCCACAAAGCCTCCCTGACTAAGGAAATCTGTCTTCCTTTTAGTTCCTTTTAGCGCCTGCCCCAGAGCACTTAGCAGACGCTATTTTGATTTCCAGTTGACTTGTTCAACTAGTTTATCTCCTCTACCCAGGTGGTCAGTGCTTTTAAGGCGGGAGGTGTGTCTCGGAGCCCTTGGACTTCCGATTCAGGTATGGAGTCACTCAGTCCTGGCTCCGGTGTGACCTCGGCTAATCCATACCTCCGTGTTCTCCTCTGTGCAGTGGGGATGATAGCATGCTCTTTACATGGCTGATGTGAGCGTGTCAGATGATACGTATAACATACAAGGCACACGGCTGGTACTCAGTGAATTGTGGTTATTCCGTGGAATACCTAAGGCTGTGTGCTGTGTGCAGTTTGAATGAATAAATGAACAAAGTCAAAGTCCATATGAATAGGTAGATAGATACCTTTTGCATGTGGTCCAAAGTGCTAGGTCAAATCCATGTGGTGTGACATGCTAGGCAACTTGACTTTTTGCAAGGTAATTGGAATGCTTATATACATTTTGTATGATTAAGTGGTTTAATCTCATAACGTTACCAATCCATTCTTTAACACGCACCATTGCCTTGTCAGTGTTAGAGTGGCCTGTGAGGTGGAAATGCAAGTTTTTATGCACTTCAGCCCGCCTGGGCTCAGGGACTGAATTAAACCAGGCTGTGTGCCAGAAACCACAAAAGGGAGCCAAACCCAGGACCAAAACGCTGTGTGGGCTCCAGCCAGGTGTGTGGGCTCAGGGAATAGCTTCTAGACTACAGCATAAAAGCTATGAAGCCACGGACTGCCCCCGAGACCCTCAGAACTTCACTTGCACAGCGCCATCTCGGTGCCCCTGCCAGCTCTGGTGTGCTGACTGATTTCACCCTCTCCAGGGCTGGTCCAGGCAGCACTGGGGCTCTGCATGGAGGAACTCATGGCCGGGCCGCCCCATTCTCAGCTCATCCTGTGGGCCACATCTCTCTCTGTGCCCCTGGGGACCAGCTCTACTGGAGTAAGATGAGGCTCATGGGACATTTAGCATGCTGGTAATTTTAAATATGGAAGTTCACTTTGGAGGGCTGACTTCCCATTGTCTTGCCACATGCATTTTTCCCCTGAGTGCTGGATAATATTCTAGAGGGATGGGGTTTCAGATCAGCTGCCCTGAAGGCCAAGGGCTTTTGCTGAAGTGTATGGGTCCTCCCACAGATGCAGGTGCGTGGTGGGGGGCGGGGGCTCCTGCAGGTGTGTGATGCGGGTGCTGAGGGGGAAGCGGGCTGGAAGAGCCCTGCTTTGGGGATTACCAAGCCAGCTTCCTTTTCTTCTTTTGGCCTGGCTGCAGTTCGCCAAATCTCATGGCCAAGGTCCGCCCCGTCCAGGTGCTGTGCCGGGAGTTTTGATGTGGTTCACAGCCTCTTTGAACTCACACAGCCCCAGGATCAGAGCCAGAGATGTGGGCCTCGTGTCTTTCTTTCAACTGCACAACTACTTCAAAGGAGTTGAAGACGCTTATAAAACAAAAAATGGTCACAATATGTTTCACAAAAACAATGCACATATTCTTTTATGTTGATTCCCAATGAAATAGGGACCAAATAAATATTTTTAGAGCATATCTACTATAAGCGTTTCAAATACAATCAGAAATGTCCAATTAATGCATATTGTATCAGATAGCCAAGTGTGAGCCCTTGTCTTTC